ACGGTGGTGCAACTGGTAGAGCTGCTGCCTCTCAGCGAGCAGGTCCCTGGTTCAAACCCCGGTCCAGGGGCCTTTCTGGGTGGAGTTTGCATGTTCTGTCCGATTTGTTTAGTTCAATCAGCAATACTTGATGAAAAATCATTTTAAAATAGTTTTCTAGCTTGTTTTAGTTCTATTTTTAAGGTGTGTTAATGTTACTGGTTACATTTTTGTAGTAAACTAATTATTTCAACTCATCGATTGTTTTTAGAACCATTCAATGAATTGTTTGGACGCCGTGTTCATTCGATAATAAAACAGTTGCAGACTTTAAGACGTAACGTGAATATTTTCTGGTTTCTAAACGTTTTAGAGGCGTCTGATTTGCTGAATGACGCCGAGCTTTAGATTAAACGTGTGGTTTTATTTTACCAATTAGTTGGATTTTACCAGGACGTAAAGGAAAATCCACACTGGAGGCAGAACACGTTCCTTCCAGAACGTTCTCCTCTGATGTCACGAGCTGTGAAAATCCAAACCCCAGTGTGAGAGTTCAGAAGCCCAAACCCAGTCCGGCTCCGCAAATGTCCGTGACGGGCAGATTCATAAACGAGACGTTTCACAGCTGAGCACGAACAAAACCTGACCCGGGTCAAAAGGTCTGGACAGAACCCAACAGACCAAACCCAAACCCAGTTATGATCATCTGTTCCACTAGAAATTACACTTCCTGTGAAAATGCAGTGTGAAGGCTTACTGCAGATGAGCTAGTGGAAAAACAGCTGAAATGAGCTAAAAACAGCTGAAATGTAGCTGAAACAGCAGAAAAAGACTAAATTAGCAGAAGAAAGCAGAAATAACTCATATTCTAAACAAAGATTGAATTAATTTGCTGCATTAGGTTAAAATAAGCAGAAAGTAGAACAAAAAGCTAAAATTTGCAGAAAAAAAATCTAAAAAGGAGCCAAAAAAGCAGAAAAAGCTTAACCTACAAGAAGGCAGTGAAAACAGCTAAAAAGCAGCTAAAAAAAATCAAAAAGAAGCTTAAATTACCAGAAGGAAGTGGAGAGAGCACTTTTTTTTATTAATATGAAAAATGTTTAAATGAGTGCAAAAATGTGGAATTAGCTGAAAAAGTTTAAATTAGCATAAAAACAGCTAAATAGTAGCTGAAATAACAGAAAACACTGAAACTTGCAGAAATACGCTGAAAGGAGCATAACAAGCTGAAATTAGCAGAAATAAGTTAAAAGAAGCCAAAAATGTTGCTGTTAGCAGAAAGCATCTGAAAGGAGCAGAAAACAGCTGAAAAAAACAGCTGAAAATAGCTGAAAAAGAAAGAAGCTGAAGCAGAACAAAATGTGAAAGGAGCAGTAAAAGGTTGTAAACAGAGCTAAAGATCTGAAGGAGGTAAAATGAGCTCAATTCATTTTCTATGAGGAAAAAATATCAGAAAAGGCTCAAATATTTCAAACAGCTAAAGTTGCACCAGTACCAAAAGTCACAGCAGGATTGTCCTGAAACAGCTGAACGTTTTATGAGTCGTTGACTGAAAACTGTGGGACGAGAATCGTGCTGAAAAACGTACGGAAGAAAAATGTCTGACGGTGTACAACCTGCAGCTGGATCCAACCTGCAGCTGGATCCAACCTGCAGCTGGATCC